TCTCCCCCAAAGACGGCTTTGTTGAATCTCCCCCAAAGACGGCTTTGTTGAATCTCCCCCAAAGACGGCTTTGTTGAATCTCCCCCAAAGACGGCTTTGTTGAATCTCCCCCAAAGACGGCTTTGTTGAATCTCCCCCAAAGACGGCTTTGTTGAATCTCCCCCAAAGACGGCTTTGTTGAATCTCCCCCAAAGACGGCTTTGTTGAATCTCCCCCAAAGACGGCTTTGTTGAATCTCCCCCAAAGATGGCTTTTAGCGAAATGTTTTTATATTTTGTCGTATCTTTCCAATGAATGTGTACTTTAATTTCTTTCATTCCTGGTGTCATCGAAAGAAGACAATCGCCCGGAAGTCAAATTGTTTATTACATTAGTATATAGCATGGCTGTCTACTGGATGAAATACATATACAAACCAGGCCATATAATGCAAGGGCATATTAGAATAACAAGCATATGCTTCTAAGCAGAGACTGGGATAGCTACTTCGTTATCGGGCAACATTTGAATTAATTTCAAATAATTTGTAATTTCTTCTTCTGTTTTGTCGGTTCCATCTTTTCGACGCCTAAACATAGCTTGTTCCACTATTTACTTAAGTATTCTGGCAAGGGAGAAATGCATAGTGCGTTATGTACCTGTCTCTATTATTCCAATCGAATTCTTGTGTGCAGCTGCTGGCTGGATGCTCAGGTTGTCTTCTCTCGCCTTAAAATCGTGATCTATAAGTATAGAAGGGGCAAAAAAAAAAAACTGTCTATAGTATTGGAGTAATACATTTGAAATGTTGTTTGTCCTTCGCATGCGAAGACGATCAAGACTATATTCCACGGTGGAGTACGCAGGTGTCTTGGCAGTCTTAGTTGTGCCTGGAAAGCAATCTCCCAAATATGACACCCGTTGTCTTCGGGCCTAGCTGAATTGTAGTTGCTGCTACTTTTCCTGGCCGTGTGCTTTCTTTGAGCGAGTGCGGTTCGTTTATTTTCTGAGTGTTGTGCTCTGCCTTGCCAGCTTCTACGATCCATGGCAAGACTATATGGTTTAAGCTTAGCTGTTATATTTGCTCAACTCTCGGTCTATAAGTTATTTAAAGTAAAGATAGAAAATAGCCATTTTATATACACTGCAATATAATGTGAACTTTTTCAAAAATTGTTGCAAAGAATAATTGGATTGACCAAGGCCAGAATCGCCTAATTTATAAGCGTATAAATTCGTCCTTTGAAGTGAAATAACAAAACTGGTACTTTAATGTTAAATGGTTTTCAATTTTATGGAGGATTATTTCGTTTCTATAAACAGTTCTTTTAAATCTTGCGTTGGGAGCCAGCGCATTTAACTAATCTCTGTTCTCCTTTAATTGAATACCTTCTAGTGACCCTTGTTGCTGTTTGTGTTGATTCAGAGCACACATGCGCACTATGTTACATCTTACTGATCATTAAGTAATCATTGGTGTGTAAGTGAGGTCACTGACCCCGTTAAAGGTTAGATTTTGATGAACTCTAAATTTGTTCTTTTTAAATTTGAGGTCCTAGGCTGACTGCCCACAGCCTCTCTATAACAATTGTTAATGGCCATATGTTTGATATGCACTTGAACATACCTGCAATCTGCGTGTCTTTGAGAATCTGTAAATGAAGAATCACTAAATGGCAATCACACTATGTTAAGGCATTTAAAACGTCATTAAATCGTTTAGCTTTACGGAAGTATTCTTGTGAACTGAACTTTCCTTGTATCTCTTTGACCAAAAAAAAATCTACCCTTTCCTGGGTGTCCCTTGTTTATTACAAGTAAATTTTATACCACTGCTCCAACCCTCTGGAACTGCCGTAATAAACGTTTATGTTCTATTTTTCTTACTTTTCAAAATCTTAATCTTACATCCTTTTTTTTTTTTTGAAAGCGTGCCTTCAATATCGCACGCCTTTTCAGACAGATAGTATTTCATTGCCGCATTAGGTGTGCATAACCTCTTTACTGTTTCTTGTTAACATCTTAAATAATGACACTCACCATGTCTACAAGTATCGCCATTTGATCAGTGTCGTTGATGCAGCACTGACGGTGACCGTCTCTGATTTCAGTGTGCAATTTCACGAAGAGGGGATCATTTAAGTATGTATAGAATGGATTTTTGAAAAGTTTAGCACAGTCCACGCACACTGGCTCAAACTGAATGGGTGAATTTTCTCCTTCTACCACCTGTTTTAGAAAAATGAAATTTAAAAAAAAAAAAATCTTTCCCTTTTCGTCTAACTTGTGCATGTGAGTTATTTGTTTTTTTACAAGCCATGTTTGCTGTTTTACCCCAACACATCTTCTCAGACTACAACTATCTGTCTTTAATTTTAAAAAAGGCAAAAACAAACAAAAGTTGTTATTTTAGAACAACAACGTGTGCAAAGCCCCTTTAATTCAATCAGTTTGAAAGTGGTGTTAGAGTTTATATTGCCGCGTGACGTTTGATGCTCTTACCATTTTAACAGCTGTCTGTGGAGGACCCGGATGAGCTGTCAGTACGAGAATTACGACACCAATGCTCACTGAGAAACTTGACACAGATAGTCCAAATCTGAATCTCCAGTTTTTCAAAAATCTATTTTAAAATTTTAGACCAGATACATTTTTAAAGTGATTCCTTTTATTTGAGTGTTGTTTGTTTTTAAAGAATTTTTTCTTAAGGTTTGAAATTTAACATGTCTTATAAGTCGGGATATATATTATACTTTTTTTTATATTTTATATTAGGTACTGAAAAATAGATAACTGGATTGCTATACCTTAAGCGATCAGAATTAAAATAGCCATTGTCACTCATTCTAACTGTAACATCGACTTTTCATCAAAGCTGAATAACCTTGAAGGGAAAACAAAACTCATGCATTTTGGCTCATTCTTGAGAGGAAATCGTTTAAAACTATTTTCATCACAATTACTGAACTAATTTAGTGCTGATTTTTGTTGCTGTTGATGTTTGTGATTGTATGTTTGTTGCATTGCTCGGGGGTCAAAACATTTTTGATAGGTGAGTTTTTTTTATTATTGATTTATTGTCGGCCTATCATTCAATTTCTCTCAGAAAACGCAATTTTTTTAAACGAAACAATTGCTCTTCAATATATATATATATATATACACACACACACACACACATATATATAATCCACGATTGCTACCTTATCAATGTTTGTGTGGGCGTTCACGCATTCACGCAAAATGCTTAAGCTTGTATTTAGATTTAAATACTGACGACAAAATCAAACTTTTTGAGCGAAATAAAATGCAACAAATGAAATTAAATTAAATTTGTGAATTTTTAAACACCTCTGGATGGCTGATGGTACTAAATAACTTTGGTGTCTTTAAGATTTATAGAGCTACTGTCAACACGTTAAGAACACAATGTGAAACATGGGTTCTTGATTACAGACATTATGTTGTTGCTTAAAAAAGTGTTTTGTTTTTTTCATATCCACGTTTAAGAGACTGTTTAGTAATTTCGATGGAAATGTTGGACGATGTGTTTGTAATTGTTCCAGGATAGCTACTGGCGAGACCAAAGAAACTTAAATATATGACGCCAATGTGTTCAGTTTTTAGGACGCCTATCATGATCAAGGCACATGCTTTCAAACATGGGCTTATGGCCAAACGCTGCAGTATTTAGTGGGAAGGGTTCGAACTCCCGCGATCTACTATGTCTGGCATGGATTTTTTCAGCCCCCCTATTGATTTTAAAATTTATTTCCCGCAACCCCTTGATAAAAATGCTAATATATGCAAATGACCTGATTTTCTGGCTTCTTCCAAACCCATGTTCACTACCCCCCACGTCTCCTGGGTGAGTACCACTGGTTAAAGACCCCCAATGTATGGAATTCTGGGGTCACTTGAAGTAAGTATTAGTGATTTTTCCTATATCATATATATATTATATGTATGTATATATAAAGATTCAAATATAAGTATATATGAATGTATATATATATATATATATATATATATATATATATATGTATTTGTATATATGAAGATTCAAATATAAATATATATGAATATAGCTTTTATCAACATTAAATAAATAAACATTTAGATAATGGTTAGCACATCTGGCTCACGTCAAAATCTAATATATATAATATATGTATATATATATAAAGAAAAAAATATATATATATATAAATATATATATATATATATATATATATATATATATATATATGTATTTGTATATATGAAGATTCAAATATAAGTATATATGAATGTAGCTTTTATCAACATTAAATAAATCAACATTTAGATAATGGTTAGCACATCTGGCTCACGTCAAAATCTAAAGGTGGTGTAATGAATATTTTAAAGAATGTCTTTTATGTCAGTATTTTCATAACTATTTTAGCCTTAAAATAGATTCAAGAGTCCTTTACAGTTCTAAAGTCGATATATTGTATCGACAGTTTGAAAATCCTTTGTTGTTTGGGTAGTAACACATTAAAAAAATATTAATCTATTACCTAAGTCTAAAGCAGTGGTTCTCAAACTTCCTAATGCCGCGACAGTTTAATATAGTTGTGGCGACCCCCCGCCACAAAATTGTTTTCGTTGAGTCTTCATAACTGTAGAGCATATGTGTTTTCCAACGGCCTTAGGTGACCCATGTGAAAGGGTTGTTCAGCCCATAAAAGGGGTTGCGACCCACAGGCTGAGAACCGCTTGTCTAAAGACACTGCACTCAGATGTGGCAATTAACCATTGCGTGTTGAACCATTTCCAAGTCCGACGTTATTTTTTTTTAAAAACTTGACATTATGCCAGGCCATTCAAGGTGAAAGATAAGTCTAACTTCGAGGAGGGCTTTATTTTCTCGTGCCAAAAACTGTAACAACCTGTACCAGTGTGAACCCATTCAACGGTTGTTCTCTTGAACGTTTCGTTGAAGGCTTCATGTCACTGGCTATGATATAGAGCTGATTTAATGATACGTAGATAATGATAAGCACCGCAAATATAATTTTATCGATAAACCAGCCGTATCATATTTACCATGTTATGGCATAGACCTATGTTAGTGTTCTTTAGTTGATTCACGTTTGGGTAGATTTATTTGAAACAAAAAATTGTCGCTATACATTGAATAGTCTGAGGAAATGTCACTGGCATGTGTGTAGGGATTTGATAGCCCAAGAAAGGGAATCTTGTAGAGTTCGTACTAGACTCTTAATAGTAGAGTAGAAGAGCAGAGACCCGAGAGGCGAGCGCCCTGGGTGTAGCAGTACAATCAGAGCAGTACAGTTGAGACGAGAGAACATCAATAGTAAACAACAGTGAAGCGACTGGGCAGGCATGGAGACGGATCCTGACATTCAAAGAGACGCGTCCTGACAGTCATGGAAATAGGTCCTGACAATAAATAGAGATGGGGCCTGACAGTCATAGAGACTGGTCTTGACAGTAAGACAGATGGGTCTTGTGTCAATTTGATCCTGCTATGACATATCAAAAGACTGATATAAAAAGACTGATATACTATAACAGTATATATCTATTATTATTACCACTGATTAGTCACGCCAGAAAAAGGGACAGAGAGATACTGTATCGTGTTGTCAAGGGTATGAGACTTACTGCTGCTATGTGTAGGTTACTGTTGTCATGTTTGGCATGGGAAAAGATGTTTAGTTTAGAGATTATATGTGTAGCTGTATCTATTGTGGGAGAAAGTTGTGACGTATTTGGGTAAGGGGAAATGACGCGTCAGTTTTGTTGTTGATATAGTGGACTGTTGGTCGTTGTGGGATGTTTACGGTATGTGTGGAGGATTTTGGCTCGATCCATCGTTAAGGAAGTACCTTGATTTGTTTACGAATTGGATTGTTAGTCCGTCATGTTGTGACGATGTATAATAACCTAACTTATAGCGTGCAACAAACTATTCAGTGTTGGTGTATTGGTATCAGTGGCACTGGTCCGTGTGAAGAAGTGAGAGACTATAATATCCAACAAGTAAGCATCTGACATCAAAGGTTAGATGGACACAAGACAATAAAGTCCGCATCTCGACAATTGTCTAATTAACAGTATTACAGTAGACATCATAAAGAAATAACTGTGGCATGTGACACTTGAGGTTTCAGGTTGGTCTATGTTTCGTAACAGTATTCGAGTCTTGCTGTAACTCAGGGGTCCCCTAACTTTCTTTAGCCCTCATCCAGAATATATTTATTGACCCCCGCGTACCCCCTCGTTTTCAAATGAAGAAAAGCATAGACATTTAATTCAAATTGGGGTGCTCAATCTATTAAGACGGAGAAGACTATTATATAGACTAGCAAAAAAATTGATAAAATGATTTAATAAAATCCTCGTGAAGGAAATTCTTTGAAAAAGATGTTCACGTCAAATTTTAGGAATGAATTTCCATTTGAATACCATAACATAAGACATTGAGCTTATACTTCAAACATAGCAATTACGACACTGTGTTGGGTACAATAATTGATTTTATGCTTTATTTTTATGTTTATTAGAGTAAATAATCCTTGCTCTCAAAAGTTATTTTGTTGCAAAAATTTGTTTGTAGCAAAAGCTAGTTGTTTTTTTACAAAAATTAGTTTGTTGCAAACGGTAGTGAAGTTTTTTTCTGACTTGTCGTAGGCTATTTAAAAATGTTTGTTGCATTCTTTGGCATTTTTAGCATAAGCATTAGCGTCACTTGTGAATGCGAGATGCGGGCCAAACATGGTGATACGTTCACGAATGTGGGTGGTGACAATCTCAAATGTTGGATTATACCCTCAAAGGGGGATGATGACAGCAAATGTAAAATGGTACATTTGAAAGAGCTTTATCCTGTAGAACTCATATGAGAGCTAAGTTAAATACAAGAGCAGGTAGCCATAAAGAAGCGGGTACTACCAGAGCAGGTTTCCGTCAAAGCAGGATGTCACCAGAACTGGCAAACTGGAAGGATGTCCATCTGTTTGAAGTATGGATTGGGTAACATCATGGGTTTACCACACAAGATGACACCAACCCAGTTGACACCACTTAGTATATGATAAAATAGGGCACTAGGCGAAAGTGATGAGACTCGACTTATGCTACCCGTCGATCCACTTCTAACCACAACATCTTGCGTACCTTACTCTATAACACAAGCAAGATATCGCACTGTATTTCTCTGTAGAGCCTCCATTACCCCTAATAATTATATTAAAAAAAAATATTTTGTGGTAATTTATCCCGGTGGGCCGACCGAGGTTGTAATCAGTACCAAGGGAACCTAAAGCGGTCACCCAGGGTCATCTATTGGTTCAACACATAAATATGGATATCAATCTTATAGTAAATTGTCTCTCAATTATAAACCTAACATAAGAGTTAAAGACCTACCTCAAAGCCCGCTGGTTTAGAAATGACTTGGTTTGTATGAAAAGTTTGGAAAAATCGGAAAAATCCAAAATGAGCTAAGTTTACGTATACACACATGTTTACTGTTACGATTTTGGCTTACAATGTTCGCTTTTGAGGTGTATACATTATATATAATATATATACTGAATGTTATTTTTTTACTATTAAGATAATTGTGTATTGAGCGATTTTGTGATGATATTGTACGATTTTAAGAGTTTGAGGATAAACAGGTGTGCGTGTATGAGACTTGGGGGGGGGGGGAAGACAGAAGACAAAGCAAAATTAAGAAAAACAAGTAATTTGAAAGATATTTTTTTTAAAACTTAAGTGTTCCCAGATAACAATTAAGCTTTTCAGATTCTACATTGCAATCTGGATCAGATCTTGGGATCTATAAAGACACGTTTCCAACTACAACTGTAAATTCTTGGCTTTCTATTTCC